CATTTTGTTGATGGCTACATCGATGTCGTGGCTGCCGACGTTGAGCAGTTTGTCACGCACCCATCCTCCCGTCCAACGTAGAGTAATTTTTTCTCTTGCAAGTTCTGCTGGTACTTGGACTCCACTGACATCTTCTTTTGAGGGGGTTTCGTCGATGTAGGCAGCTACATCCAGCAGCAGCTGCCGTAACTTGGACTCGACCTCTGTCAGCTCCAGCTGCGGCGACCCGGCGCCCTCTGAGGAAGTCATGATTCCGTAGGGGCGGATGAATTTTGGTGAAGGCGCAGCAATTTTGCGTCTTTTGGGGCTCGGCTGTTGTAATTCAGGCGAGGGGCTTGCTCTCGACATGCGAGGTATTGACGCGGTGAGAGAATACAGAGCTCTGTCAGTGAGGTGTGTTGTCAAACGAGGGCGTGCAGGTAATGCCGGGAAGTCACGTTTGTATAGTCGTGAAAACGCTGGGGGTGAACGAATCCGGCGGGCTCGAGTTACCAACGACATGCATATGAGTCAGGATGAAGGGTCGATGTTTGTGCGCCAGCAGAGCACTGCAAGGGGTGAAAATAAGAGTGCAAGGGGATTGGAAATGGCAAAATAGGGGTTGCGAATTGTTACAGAGCCGCAGCGTTGGTACTGGGGGACAAATGCGAGTGATGCTGGAGATGCCGCAATTCGTCCAGTCACAAAGCGCAGCGGCCGCAACGGCGATCCAGCATCACCCCCAACGTCGTCACACACGCGCCGCTCCAAACCAAATAGCGAATTCGACTACTGACGGCTCGCTGTCGCCTCAAGCCCGTCGACGATAATCAGGATACATGCCGGCAGCCTCAGAAGTCCCGCGTGCATTCAGAACCCCGCGGGCGCATCGCCCTAGCCTCCCATGACGCCGCCTCAAGATGCCACGCCGAAACCCCCAAAGTACCCAGCCGACCCGGAGGCTTCCATGATACTGCCCAAACACCGCGCCTCGCCTGCATCCTCTCTCTCCAGCCTCCCCTACCGCCGCTCCAACCCCAGCCTGTCCAAGCTCTTCGAGTCAACAACCACAATCTCCACGTCGCGCCCCAACTCCGGCGCCGCAACGCCTACCCCGAGTCACCCTCAGGGCTCCGTCTTCTCTCCGGGATCGCGGCTCAGTGGTACAGGCACGCCGAGCAGCTTGCCACCAGGCGTGTCAGATGAGTACCGAACGCTGATTCAGCGGGCCTTTGTGCCATGTGTCGCTGTCCTTGCGGATGCGCAGACGGAGGACCTGATACAGTCAAAGGGGCTGGAGGGGGGCCTGTTACAGTTGTTACGACCATTTGGGGAGTCAGTACCCGGCAAGGTAACCATAAGAGATAGCAACGGGGCAAGCAAAAGCTGGGAGGACTTTGGTGTGCGCTTCATTGGTGTTGACGATGCATATCCAGACCTGCGTGTTGGGACCGGCGGGCAGAGAACACCATCAGGTCCCGCACCGCGAGTGAGGCGCTCAGGGGGTGATGTGTCACAGATTGAAGAGCTGGTAGATCGCCATCTACAATACTCTGAATTCAACAGGCAAGATGCTGTGTCCGACTTCATGAACCAGGGCGAGGCGTCAGGACCGCCCATAGATAGTACCTCATCGCCTTTCTACACGCTTTACCTACGGAGATTATTATCAGGACTGCCAGTCGTGCCGCATGAGACCTTTTCGCATCCCGTGGCCGGTATAATAGCAATCAGCTCACGCAATCCACATCCGATAGAAGAACTACGGAGACTGTACAACCGGCAACACGATGGAGACCTACGATTTCCGCAATGGGTAGAAAACGACTTTTTACGCTACTACGTTCTAATACACGACGAAGAAACCGGAGACATTGCAAAGTCGAACCAGACTTTTGATTCGATGAAGCGACATTTTGGACTACATTGCCATTTACTGCGGCTCAAGAGCCAGCAGTGCATAGCGTCAGACGACGATAGCGTACGTTTGCCGACTTGCGAGTGGATGTCTGCTTCGGAAGAACTGGCCGAGATTCAAAGAAGAGGTAAGTAAGAGAGGGTTGTCACGGCCAGTGGTAAACATATACTAATAGTTCGCTGCAGAAACCACAGACGACATTACAGACCCTACACCCTACTTCCCCGAGTCTGATATCAGTAGTCTCCGTACTTTTATCCGTGAACTAGTCACACAGTCAATAATACCCAACATGGAGCGCAGTGTCGCCACATGGAACGAGCAAATCCTATCTCGACGCCGCGGTCTCTCAGGCCGCTTCATGTCTCTTTCCAAACGCTGGACACCCTTCGGTGGCTCACGCACAAGCGGCTCATCATCCACAACATCTGGCAACTCAAACTACGACAGTCTCCAAGGCTTCTACCGCCCAGATGCCCCCGAAGCCATCATGCGGCGCCTGGCAGACTACTGCTTCATGCTACGAGACTGGAAGCTGGCACTCAGCACCTACGACATCCTACGTACCGACTTCCAAAACGACAAAGCATGGCGTCACTACGCGGGAGCCGCCGAAATGGCCGCCCTCTCCGCCCTCATGTCACCTACCCCTCTCTCTGCCAAATCCCGCGCTGAAAACATCGACGCCTGGATCGAAGCAGCGTCCTACTCGTACACAGACCGCCAGCGCAGCGCAGCCCCTTACTACGCCCTGCGCACCCTCGCCCTCTCCTTCGAGCTCCTCCGCCTCCGCGGCGCCGCAGCTGCAGACGACGCCGCCAGATGGGCAACCCGCATCTTAGAAACGGGCCTCGTCGGCCCCGTCGGCCACGCCCTCGTCACCGAACGCATCTCGGCCTGCCACGCCATCCGCACCGGAATCGGCGCCTACAAATTGGGCTCGCGCCGCAGAAAAGCAGCCCTCTGGTCCGTTCTCGCGGCCGAAAATTGGTATCGCCTCGAGAAGTCGCAGCAGGCGGAGCGCGCGCTCGATACTGCGCTTAGACTGTACAACACGACGGCGGAGAATGCAGAGGGTGGGGCTACAGCGTTGCCGTATGGAGATATGCAGCGGTTTGTGGATGAGCTGCGGCAACAGATTATGGGGCTGAGGCTCACGAATCAGGGGTTTGGTGGGCAGATGGGTGAGGAGGATGAGGAGGGGAGGCGTGGAATGCAGAGTCCGGAGGTGGAAGAGGTGGCGGAGACGCTGGATCAGAGTCCGAGGCTGCATAGGAAGAGTCTTATTGGGCAAAAGGCGCCGCCGCCGATTGATCTGGGGCCATCGTTGGAGAGGTCGCAGAGCGAGGTGGATGCGAAAGGGGAGGGATTTGAGTAGATCTAGGGGGAGGAGAGACGATAGATACGTGTAATGGTTACGAATTCTTTCTCACGACAAGCCACGCAACACCAGCATTGTACACGTCACACACACATACATATACACGTGGTTGAACATGCAACATGTACACATGGTTTTTATCGAAGCCGTCTCCCATTAGTCTAAGAGATGCATGCTCTATACATCATTCATTCATTTCGTTCAGTCAACAAGAGAGAGAGAAAAAGTTAAAAAGACATTTCCATTCAAACGCCAAAGCCGGTGAAGAGACTGCAGGCCCAAGCACTTTGGCACCCCGTCAGTCCGTCATGCCGGTATATGCAACAATAGATAACACAGACAGCCATGCCGATGCTCGTATGCTATGCAAAGAACGCGAGATCCAAGGAAGGAGGATGAGAAGAAGAAGAAGAGGAAAAAAAATGCAAATCAGAAAAGAATAACGCGCCCACCGTATGCTGTTAGGGTATCATTGTCTCGTCGTCATCATCAGCAATCATAAGTCAACCACCTCTTTCTCTCTCTCTTCACACGATAAAGTCATAACAGGGGGTAAGGGGCTTGGACACTGCAGGAGCCTTGAGTGGTGATGCTTCTGCGGGCACGGTCCTGGTGTCTGTGTGTAGTGTCGTCTTGGGGGCAGGGGTTGGTTCCCGAGATGAGTCCGTGGAGGAGGCATCGCAGGTACGGAGTCCGCGAAGTTTGATGGTGAGCTTCACTGGCCTTGGTGGCTCGGGTGGAGGGGTTTGTAGAGTTGACTGTTGCGAGGCCACAAACCCATGTGATTCATCCGACGAGCTGTCGGTGCCTTCTGGGGTTGAATCAGAGTCGAATAGAGGTAAGGGGGAGCGACGCTTTCTTGAGCGTTGGCGTTGGTCGTCATCGTCACCGTCGACACTGGGACTCGGACGCTTTTTGGACATGGCCTTTGGCACTACGTTGACATTTGGAATGCCAGTGTGGGGACCGGCGATATTACGAACAGAGGAATAGTGCTCCCAAGTCTATGGGTACTACGTCAGTACAAGATGAGTGGGGTAGCAAGAGAGTACAACATACATGGTAGGCAATATGGAGGGTCTGGCGTTTGTCATCGGCAGCGGGATCAGCATTGGATGCAGAGGTGGTGCGTGGGGAGAAGAGGTATGTATAGTCAGCCTGCCACAGGCGGACATTGACATTAAGGGCAGAGGCAAAGGCTGAGACCTCCATGTTGTCTGCCCACTCGCCAGGCTGACCCATCTTCTCTACATGATGCTCAAACTGCTGTTGCAGCTGCTCTTCAGTGTAGTAGGTGGTGTCGAGACGCTTGGTGGCGGCATTGGCAGCGGCGGCCGTCTTGCGTTTGGGATTCCTCCGCACATTGTTGACGGCCATGTACTGGCGGTAAAAGTCTGCACAGTCCCTCATGTGCTCTATGGTGGTGGTGCGCAGGACGTCGTGCATGTCTTGGTGGCCGTAGAGCTGGTCGGACAGGGCGTTGAACAGGCAGTTGCCTTTGGGGGAAAGTCAGTGGTGGTGAAGCGAGGAGTAAGGTTCAAGTGCATGCTCACCATCGCCACGGATGCTGCTTGCATACAGGGCATTTGCATCTAGGATGGGGAATTCAGGCGAGTTGGCCCGGTGTCGTCGGGTAGCCATGGTGGTGGGAGCAGCAAGGATGTTTGTAGGACAGGAGAAGTCGGTGTATTTGGGGCGGAAGGCACAGGTGGGGTGAGGCGGTCATGGATGAAAGGAGAGCTCTGGTGGAAGCGGCAGTTGCAGAAGCAGTTGCAGGGCAGAGGAGCTGGGCCGGCCACGCCACGATGGATGGTGAAGGTCGTGGCCGGTGAAGGGCAAGGGGAGGGAGGCAGGCGAGGAATAATATCTTGTGTGACGCGCGCGAACTTGTGAAGCTCTGGTAGTAAAGGGACACGGGCAGCAGGGATGGCTCCGCTTGGCAAGTCTCAGGAACAACGACAGCAGGCCTGACTCGGGGCCGACTCGCGCGAACAGAGACTGAACAATGCCCGGCCAGGGACGACAATCGGGCGGCAGCCAACCAGACAAGGACGTCGAGGGTATTGTGGTATGTATGCAATGCTGAGGCAGAGGGCCGGTGCAGCTAGATGTAGTAGCAGTAGGCCTGCGCGGTGCTGGCACGGAAAAATCTTCGGGCCTGCATATAGTACGTCTTGTCTAGTACATGTACAAGCTACTACTTGTTAACAACTACCTCGGACTCGGGCAATGATGTCAGGCACCGCAGAGCTGTGCCCCCCCTAGCTAGCCGCTGTGCTGGGGCTGGCCCGACTGGTTTTCGTCGTCTGCAGTGGGCGGTGAAGAACAGGTAATTGCTGGTGAAGACGGTGTTTGTGTGAAGAGGACAAGTGCAGGGTGGGTGAGTGAAAGATTAAACAGCGAGGAAGCAAGAGATTGACATGTCCACCGCCCATCTCATCTGCCCCAGGCACATGTGTACACAAACAAAGGCCTCTCCCTCTCATGTGCCCACGCGTTTTGTCTCTTGCTCGTGTGCCGGCGGAACCAATAAGCGAGCTGGCAAAAAAACCACTGCCAGATGACCCCGCCAACACGCTCCACCACCACCACCACCGCCGCCGTCTCCACCCAACTACCTGCTGGCCTCTACTCTCGCCCGTGGAGCCATGTGATGCCACGCAAAATCACAAGTGCGTCAAAGCCCACCCATCTCCTCCCCTGAATTCACTAAGGTAGAGCTAACATGTCCACCACCAAGAATGTCGTCGTTGCGGGGTAAGCATTTGCCCACCTCACCACACCTTTTTATCTGTGTCCTGCAGCCATGGCAATAATATAATCAACACGTCCAATTTTCATGTGCCGATCCGCTTCCCCCATGTGCCAAAGCTGCAGGGCCGACTGCTCGTTACAGTAGTAGTCTCAATGTACTTTAATGTATCTAGTATGCTGACACTACTACCACCCCAGCGCCGGAGTCATCGGCCTCTCGACCGCCCTCGTGCTGTCCAGGCACAAGAACCTGAGCATCACCGTCGTCGCCAAGCACATGCCCGGCGACTATGACATAGAATACGCTTCTCCCTGGGCCGGGGCTAACTATTTCCCTGTTGGTAAACCAGGCTCCATTTTGCAAAAGTTCGAGAGGGCTACCTGGCCGGAGTTCGAGCGTCTATGTCGCCAAGTCCCAGAGGCTGGCATCCACTTCCAGAATACGCGTGTCTACGGGAGGAAGAAGGATGCTGGCACGGCTACTGGCCAGTGGTTTGAGGAACTGACAAAGGAAGATGCTTGGTTCAAGGATGTGGTACCTAACGTATGTTGCCGTCCCACTACTACTTCATGGGTGTGCCCTGTGTTCACACTCCCTAGTTCCGTGTCTTGCCCAAAAGCGAACTCCCAGACGACTGTGACACCGGCACAGAATTCTCATCCGTATGCATCAACACTGCCGTCTACCTGCCCTGGATTCTCGGCCAATGTGTGAAAGCCGGCGTCATCATCAAACGCGGCATCCTCTCCCACATTTCTGAAGCTGCCAGCTTTCACCCTTCTGGCCATGCCGATGTGATCGTAAACTGCACTGGTCTTCTCGCCTCCAAGCTCGGTGGAGTCATGGACTCGAACGTATACCCAGGACGCGGCCAGATTGTGCTCGTTAGAAACGAGCCAGGCGTCATGTTGACTGTCAGTGGCACTGATGATGGTAGTGAAGAAGCTACCTACATTATGCAACGAGCTGTCGGTGGAGGCACCATTCTCGGTGGCTGTCTGCAGCACGGCTCGTGGGAGAGCCAGCCTGACCCTAACCTTGCCCAGCGTATCATGCAGCGCTCCATTGACTTGTGTCCAGCGCTCGCACCAAAGACTGGAAAGGTAACTGAACTTGACATTGTCAGGCATGGTGTCGGACTACGGCCCATGAGGACTGGCGGACCTAGGGTTGAAAAGGAGGTGATTGGTGGCAAGTGGGTTGTGCATAGTTATGGCCATGCCGGTTATGGCTACCAGAGTGGTTGGGGAAGTGCATGGGAAGCGGAGCAACTTGTTCTTTCTATTGTACAAGATGACAAGACCAAGGCCAAGCTTTAGACTAGACAGTACACAACATATTTATACCATGCCCTAGCTACCCACGAATATATTTCTCAGTACGTCTACCACTACGACCGTGTCCGTTCATGTTGCTTCCTCTCCCGCCACCACCGCCGCTCTAATCCCATCCACAGCAGGCTTCAAGCTCTTGGACGGCAAACTCCAATCATGCCTCTTCAGCCCCTCCTCTCCCGTCAAAAACCACAGCGTCTCCGCTGCCGTAACACGAATCTAACTCTTCATATTAGCATTCCCTATTCTGCTTTCCAATGTCCCCGTCTTTCAAACCAGAAAACTCACCTTGGGAAACGGATGCAATAGCATACTCGTCACTTTCCTCAGCGTCTCCTCGCGCGTCACCGGCACACTACCCAACCCACGGTACATATCCAATGCAAGATGCAACTTATGGACATGCGAAGATTTGAAGTGGGATTTCTGCGTATACGACAGGAGGGTGCGGAAGCTATTTTCCCCTATTTAGCAAATCTGAAGTCGGAACAAAGCAGTGTACGTACGGAAAAGTAGTAGTAGTAGTAGTAGTAGTAGTAAGACGTTGCAAAACATGCATATCGAAAAGGAAAGCAAAGACTTCGAGGAGCGGAAGCAAAATACGATCGTTGTCGAGGTGGGATTTTAGGAGGGTGAGGAAGGTAGTTGCGAGGTCGAGGAGGGAGTATTGATTCCCTTGACCAGCAGTTTCAGAGGAGGAAGAAGAAGGCAAAGTATCAACAAAGTCAAGCAACGCCCTCCGCGAGTTCTGCACTACAGATTCCGAGCCCATACCCGCTGAGCTGACGAAGCCGACGCAGATGGCTTCTTTGATGACAGCGTCTGCTGGAGATTGCAGGGGAGCGAGGGCGGAGAGGAAAAAGGATTTAGATGAGACGCCTGCGTCGAGAGCGTTGGGATCGAGGTTGTGGTGTAGGACTTGACTAGCTTTTACACGCATTTTATCTAGTTTCTCGAGGGATAGGCGGAGGACGTCGGCGTAGATTTCGCGGCCGCATGGTTCGTGAGTTGGGGTTAGGAGACTGGATGTCCAGGCTAAGTGGACGGTGTTGAGGGCTTCGAGGCGGACTAGGGCCCCGACGTCGCCTCGTTCGGTGATGGTGTAGTCGTTGAGTGCAATGTGTAGGGCGCGGCCGATTTGTGTTTCTGCGTCTGGGGCGAGGTGGTATGAGGATGATGATTTGCTGGCGAGGAGGTCGCCTAGAGCGCGTAGGGCTACGGTGCGGGCTTCGATGGCGACGGCGGCGGTGCAGCGGAATGTGAGGACCTTGACGATGCGGCGTTGTATTTCTTCTCTTTTCGTGTCGGCTGGAAGGTTACTCAGGTTGGCGTATGCAGCTCCCAGTGCAACCGCGTGGCCTGAACATCTGAGTCCGTTGTACGAGGCTTCATTCTCTAGTCTAGTCAACCACGACGATACGACCTCAATGGTGTCGACGTTGGGTGTCTTGGATAGGAGTAGAATGACTGCTGGTGCAGTGACGGCGATTCCATCCAAGACTGGCTGCTCATGTCGAGTGAGGCACAGGTCAAAGAGGCGACAGACCTTTTCCGTGGGTATCTCGGATGACTTGATACTACTGGAACAATCAGTCGTAAACGTAGCCATTGCTGCAATAAATGCACATATGGAAGATGCTGTAAACTGTGGTCGTAGCGCCGGCGAGATAAACGCCTTGTCTTCGAGCTTCAAGTCGCTTGACAACAGCGTCCAAAGATCCGAGAGAGACGCATACAAAGCTTCATCTCCACTATTACCGATTGAGGTTCTTGCAGTGTCTACGAGAGCTGCAAGTGCAGACACTAGTCCCTGTCGCTCCTCTACTTGTCTGGGGCGCAAGGCTGAAAGCGTATTGCGCACCTGTCCCGACATTCTTTGTACCACAGCCAGGGAGCGTCCTTTCGATAAAGATCCTACGGCTTCTGCTGCAAACAAACGCGACTCAGAGTCCAAGGATCCTGTTCCTCGCCATTCAAGGAGGCCTTCGAACAACGCTTCCCAGTAGAGCGGGCTTAAGTCTCCTGCCTTGATTGCCACATCGCACATTGCTCGCTGACGGAGGCCGACAGCATGGAAATCTACCATTTGTACGAGTGGTATGCCCTCCTCAATCGTATTGGGGTGTCGACCAATCAATTCCTGTAGAGCAGCGGATGAGCCTCTTCTGATGTTACCTGCTGGGTCGAGACAGGCAGCAACTACCAGTTCGATTGCCAGGACCTGAGGTACATTCAATGCTTTAAGATGCTCCGACGCACGTATCGATGCTGTGTCCACGACAAGAAGATCTGAAGTAGCGTAGCGTCTCGAGAGTGCCCAGATGCCAAAGCAAGCTGCATCGCGTACGTTTGTGCCAATTGATCCACCAGTGGGCGATCGCTGTTCGAATCCAAGAGAGAGTAGAAGAGCGTTCAGGACGTCAGGCAAGTGGTTTGTTTGGACTGCTTTACGATAGAGAAGCTGAGAAAGTGTCAACGTCAATCCGTGCCATCTCAGTGGGTTTACACTGCTCAAGTTGCGTTTGGAGCCCTGCCAGTAGACATTCTCGGTGAGGGAGCCTAGGATTGCCTCGACCACCTCGTCAGCCATTTCGGTATCCAGTTTGAGTGTGATTATGCTGAGCGCTTTGCTTGCCCCGTATCGAACAGGGGTATCTCCATCTGCAAGTGCTTCCAGGAGGAATTCGATAACCTCCTCCAAAACCGTTGTTGGATCAAGCCCAGGTACGATGGAGGTTGTCTGCATACAATGCAGGACGATATTGCGTAGACTTTTCACGACTAGCTTACGAGCCACAGCCGACGATTTGATGAAGGCAAGGCTCTCTTGGTCCAGTACTTTTCTGCAAGACTGATAAGTTGCAGCAAGAAAAGGACCAAGTTCTTCGTTCGTGGCAGATGCGAGGAGTCCAGATATGAACGACAATACACCGAGGCATTGGTGTATATCAAATTGCTCCTCGTTCACTTCAGAGAAGAAGGAAAGTGACCACGAAACC